TGTGACCAAAAAAAGATAAAAAGATTATAAAAAAAAAAGTGAGCTAATATGACACTTCTCAAACAACCTTTTATTCGATGATCCCTTTCTATAAGGTATATTTTCAATAAAAATTCTATTGAAAATCTCAAGTATATTGCTTTTTCTTTTATTCGTTAATATTAAATTTTTAATTAATCTAATTTATTATTTTAAAAAATAAATTAGCAAATAATTCATATATTTATATATATAATTTCGTTTTGGTTGCTCAAGTTATTTGGTGGTTCTGCCCAAATCTACTCAAATTTAATTTGAATTTTTGAATTTCTGCATAGGTTCTCACTTAATTAAAAACTATGTTATTCAATCTTTAAAAAATTTTAAGCTCGACTCAAGGTGCTTGGGTTGAGCTCACCTAAGTTTGCAATTCTAGCAAAGGGGGGTTTAAAGTTACATGAATAAATTTGTGATAAATTAAAAAAATAATAAATAAATTGTGAAAAAATTGTGTGACTTAAATTTTAATTTCAATCTTTTTTGTTTTCATAATTTGCATAAAAAATTTAACTGTGATAAAATTTTGCATCCTTTATTAAATTATACAATAAAATTTTAAATTTCAATTCTTCTTCAAAATATATTACTACAATTAGGATGAGATCAATATTCACACGTGTCATAATAATGTATCATAATATTATTGGTCTAAATATAAGTTGTTTTAAATACACGTGTTCAAATTATTAATCGCTATTAAATTTTTTTCTTTTTTTTGGTTTTAAATTTTATAAAAAGAAATTATGTCCTTCTAAACTATAAGGACTTGAACAATAATATTTTTTAATATAATTTTTTTTTTTCACAAAAGAACAAAACATAACTTTTTTAGTACTTACCAAACATGGTGGATTTTGTTTTTTTTGTTTTTTAATTTCAATTGTCAATTAAAGAAATTAAAATAAAGAATAAGAATATCTTTGGCTCAAATTGTTAAAAAGTTAGTTTTGCTAAAATAAATTTGAAAGAAATGTTGATTTTTTTAGTTTGTTGAACTTTTTTATTTAAAAAAAAAGGGTTATAGGTGATAATTTATTGTTCATCTAGAATTATTTTCAGATTAAATGAAAATACCATATTTAAATTTTAAATTTCTTCAAACTTCCTCTGCTCTTCCTCTGGTGTTCTTACGGTTGCAACCCATGGCTGAGGGACCAGCTCTTTGCTGAAGCATTCTTCCACAATCTGACTGGAAGAGGCTCTCACGGTACCCTTTCATTCTGCTTGTTCATTGTTCATTGTAGAGTTTTTTGGTTTATCAACATGTACAATGAATCTGCAATTTTGTTTTTTCATTCTACTTCATATCTATTTCATTCTACTTGTAGAGTTTGTATATTCATTGTTCACCATTCTGCTTGTTCACCACCTGAAGTCACACCTTTGATCATTGATGATATGTGTGGTGTTAGTGTAGTGAGGGATGAACCCTCTGCTTGCTCACCACCTGAACTTTTGCTTTTGTGAACTTTTGTGAACCCTCTGCAATGATAATTTATATATTTATAGAAACACATTGAAGATGTGTAATGAAAATTTCAATATATTAATCGGCATATATATATATATATACACCGGTTTGTTTTTGTTTTTCTTTTGTGAACCCTCTGCAATGATAACTTTTGTGAAGATGTTCACCACCTGATGCTCTGTTTTTGTTTTTCTTTTGGCTAGAGAAGCCAGCGGTTTGTTTTGTTTTTTTATATATACATATATATATATATATATGATTTGTTTTAAGTCATGATTTTTGTTTTGTTTTTATATATATACATATATATAATCGGCATATATATATTATCCTGTGTTTTGTTTTAAGTCAACGGTTTGGTTTGTTTTGTTTATAATATGTGATGCTCTGTTTTGTTTTAAGTTATTCTCTCATAATTTTATATATATTATATATATATATATATATATATATATATTATCGGTATAGAATATATAATTTTTTATATATAAAAATATTTTTTATATATATTTTAAATGCACATATGCTCAATATATATATATATATATATATCTTTATATATATTATTTAAAGAGATTTAATCTGTCAATTTTTTTATTTCAAATTTTTTTTATTATTTTAAATTTTTTAATCTGTCAAAATTATTTTTATATTAGATAATTTTTACAGAGGTTTAATCTGTCAGATTTTTTTAAAGAGGTTTAATTGTTAAGTAAAGATGTTTAATATTTTAGATTTTTTATTTTTATTTTAAATGCATTATTATTACTAACTAAATTAGAATTACAATATTTATTAATTGAAAACTGTTATTACTAACTAAATTGGAGTCTACATATCATTATTATTACTAACTAAATTAGAGTCTACATATCAAAATTTTGATTAAAATGTGATAAATTAAGGCTAAAAGAGGCAAAAAAATGCCTAAAATTGAGTTTTAGATGGATTGCTAATGATTTTTGAAATTTCACAGCCGCAACGCCTGATACCCGATACGTACCGGTCGATACTACCGATACCGATACTCCGCGATCGATACCGTTACATTACCCGATACCGCGATTTAGAACTATGGTTCCAGGATGAGATCACCCACTATCATAATCAAGAACAATTTAGACTGCATAATTCAAACTGACCTGAAAAAGAAAAAGACTACATAATTCAATGGCCTGTATATACACACTTCTTGAAAAAAGAAACAGGTGTTATTTATTTAAAGTTTAATAGAGGAAATTCATAGAAAGCACATTATGGGTGTGACTTTTTTTCTTTAAAGAAAGACAAAAATAACAAAAATATTAACTTAAGGAAGACAAAATTTGAGAACAACCAACCAACCTTAAACACACAACATTACCAAACAGGTCATGAATTAAGTAGTGACTTGAAAGCAATTTCCGTGTTCGTATTAATGCTAATAGTCCTAAAAATTTAAGCTTTTAGCACATCAAATAAGGGTATAGAAAATTTCATAAAGCCACAATCCAAAACAACCAAACTGTTACATTCCACAAACCAACTTGGTAAAAGCACTTAAACATCAAACAATAAATTAATTGAACCAAATTGAGCATAGTGAGAGCAGAGCACTAACAAAGGACAAAGTAGCTAGCTAATGACTACATAACAAAAGATGATGTCAAAATATAGAGAAAAATTAGAAAATTACCATGGAAGACGACAAAAGGTAGAGAACATGTGGTTGTTAGTGTACAAGTCACAGTGAAGATAAATAATTCCATGGCTTGGTTTGAACTTAGAGTTACTAAAGAAGCCTGTAGAAATTATGGCTCGGTTTGATAAAGAAGAAAAATAATTTGGGTACTTGCTTAAAAGAAGCCATTGATTTTGGTAAAAATAACAACAAAACCAAAGAAAAACCCAAAATTTAGCATTAAAGCATTGGAAAAATGTAGGGGTTTGATTCGTGGAAGTTTGAGAGGTGCAGGAATTCTGGGTTGGGATTGTTTTGAAAGATTTTCACAGGAAACAAGCAGAGATCTAATGTAAATTTCGAAGTCCTCTGTTTATGGTATAAAATGAGAAGATACATGTGCCCCTTTTATTAGTACACACAGGACAAATATTTAGCACATAAATCATACAACCTAGATTGATCTTATAAGAACATGATGTCATACTGGTTCAGGAATTTTTTCAAACATTTGGTACCTATATATCTATACTATATATTAAGCAAAAGGGGGGTTTTAAACCCCAAGGCCTGTGGGAGTTTCAATTCCCTAATCCTAATTTTCTAATTTTTTGTTTTAAAAAAAAAATTTATCTCAGCATTTATTAACTTCTCTTAACCCATAAGACTTTTTGACTTCTCTCATAATTACTGCAGTACCTTTTCCAAAACAAATAATTTGTATTTTAAAACAAATATAAATATCTTTATCTATGTCTATCTATAACCCACAAGACTTTTTGATTTCTCTCATAATTACTGCAGTACCTTTTCCAAAACAAATAATTTGTATATTAAAAAAAATTAAAACAAATATAGATATCTATATCTATATCTATCTATTTATTTATATCTATCTCTAACCCATAAGTTTTGTGGGAGCTTCAATATCCCTATCTAAATTTCCTGATTTTTTGATTTTTTTAAAAATAAATCCTTAGTATTTATTAACTTCTCCCAACCCTCAAGCTTTACCCTCATAATAACGCATTAATGCATTAAGAACAAGCATAAAAAAATTCCTTGAAAAGTCCAACACATATGAATTCCTTGAAAAGTCCCAACACATATGATTATTATCCCTTATAATAACACTTTAATGCATTAAGAACAAATATAAAAAAAATTCCTTAAAAAGTCCAACATATATGATTATTATCAAAATATTAAAATTTAATATAATATAAAAAAAGAAGATATTTAATTCATTGGAAAGTCCAACACATATGATTATTATCAAAATATTAAACTTTAATATAATATAAAAATGAAAAAAAAGAAGACATTTAAAAAAAAAAAAGACATTTAAAAATCACAATTCACATATATAGATAATTGTAAATATAACCCGTGCATAGCACGGGTGATATGCTATCTATATCTATACTATATATTAAGCAAAAGGGGGTTTTTAGCCTCAAGCTTTGTGGGAGCTCCAATCTCTCAATTTAAATTTTCTGATTTTTTGATTTAAAAAAAAAATCTTAGCATTTATTAATTTCTCCCAAGTCTTACCCTCATAATAACACTTTAATGCATTAAAAACAAGAATAAAAAAATTCTTTGAAAAGTCCAACACATATGTTATATACTTGGAGAACTAAGGAAAGATTAGAGATAGACAACGTAATATGATTTTCTTTCTATGATACACATTGTGCATTCCTAAATGGAATAGGTTAATAGTACACATGATGCGTTTTATGACATAAAAAAACTTGATCTTTCATTTGTGATCAGACATGGACAAGAGTTGGATTGCATTGGGTAAGACACCTGATGGAAGGATGAGTCAGCCATTTATTGATAGGGTGACATCATTTATCAAATTTGCAATGGCAGTTGTTGACCAGGAAGGTAAAATCCCGTGCCCATGTTTGAACTATGTGAACTATTATTCCCAAAATCTTCGAAATGTGCAAATTCATTTGCTTCAATATGGGATTATGCAAACGTACACTATTTGGCATGAGCACGGGGAACCACGTGTATCAAATGAGGCTCATCATGAAATGGCAATTGATGAAGATGAGGTTTTAGGTGGTATTGATGCCTTAGTGGAAGATCGAATAAGAGGAGAACCCAACGATGCACCCCAGAATGAGGAAGTACAAACGTTTGATAAACTATTGAATGATGCCAAACGTGAGGTGTACTTAGGTTGCACAAACTACACTCTGTTGAAGTTTGTCATCGAGTTGCTTAATATGAAGGTAACAAACCACTGGAGCAATAAGTCGGTTAACACACTATTGGAGTTTTTAACAAAACTTTTACCAAAAGATAATTTGGTTCCAAAGTCATTTTATGAAGCTAAGAAAATACTTCGTGATTTGGGCTTGTCATATGAGTTAATTGATGCTTATATAAATGATTGTGTACTCTTTTGGAAGGAAAATGCAAGGTTAGATAAATGTCCAAAATGTAAGGCATCCAGATGCAAGATCAATCGTGGCAGGGGTAAGAAGATTCCCCATAAGGCGTTGCGGTACTTCCCATTAACACCAAGGTTGAAAAGATTGTACATGTCAAGAAAGACTGCTGAGGACATGAGATGGCACAAGGAGAAACGTATAGATGACGGAGTATTGAGACATCCCGCCGATAGTGATGAATGGAAGGAATTTGATGTGCAACATCCTCAGTTTTCCCTAGAGCCTCGAAATGTGAGGCTAGGGTTGGCTGTTGATGGATTCAATCCTTTTGGGAACATGAGCAACTCGTATAGTTTATGGCGTGTAGTACTCATTCCTTATAACTTGCCACCTTGGTTGGTTATGAAAGATCCCTTTCTTATGATGTCACTACTTATTCCTGGAGAATCACAACCAGGGATCGATATTGATGTCTACATGAGACCTCTGGTGGATGAGTTGAATGAGTTGTGGAAAAATGGTGCATTATCTTACGATGCCGTAACTGGTGAGTCTTTCCAGATGCGTGCAGCTTTGATGTGGACTATACACGATTGGCCTGCATTTGGTGACATATCTGGGTGGAGAACAAAGGGTCATTATTCTTGCTACACTTGCAATGATGAACCATATTTTCAATCTTTGAAAGGTAAGACTGCATACACTAACCATCGATGCTACTTGCCTCAAAACCACCCCGAAAGGCAAAAGAGTAAGGCTTACAATGGTAAGCATGAGAAGCGAAAGAGATCTTTAAAGTTACCAGTGGAAAAGATATTAGAGCAATTGGACAGAGTGACAGGTGTCACATATGGGAAGCATCCAAGAAATATGAAAAGACTCCGTCAGGCACCAAATTGGACAAAGGTAAGCATCTTGTATGAGTTACCATACTGGAAGAAACAGAAGCTTCGACACAACATTGATGTTATGCACGTCGAGAAGAATTTTAGTGAAAATACCTTTGAAACTATGTTAGGCGTTGATGGAAAGAACAAAGACACCGACAAAGCACGGATGGACTTGGAAGATATGGGTATAAGGGAAGAGTTGTGGTTAACACGTCGTCCTGATGGAACTTATGTGAAACCTAGGGCAATCTTTTCATTGACCCCTGAAGAGATGGAGGGTTTCTTTGAATTCTTGAAATCAGTGAAGTATCTGGATGGCTATGCTGCAAACATATCAAGATCAGTGAATGCGAGAAATGGTAAATTAACAGGCTTGAAAAGTCATGACTGCCATGTACTCATACAACGGATTCTTCCAATTGGGATGCGTGGTTTCGTAGACAAAGAGATTAGTAAAACACTATTTGAGTTAGGTAGCTTTTTCCAGGATTTGTGCTCAAGGACACTGCGCCGTAATGAACTTGAGAAATTAGAGGAACGTATAGTACACATATTAAGCAAGCTTGAAAAGATTTTTCCTCCAGCCTTCTTTGATGTGATGGTTCACTTGGCCGTTCACTTGCCGCGTGAGGCTATTCTTGGAGGACCGGTGCAATGTCAATGGATGTACCGGATTGAAAGGTGATTGTTAAATTGAAAGGTTCGTAATTATATGTTGCATGTGTAACCTTGCTCTTAACTAATTCTCTTTTCAAGGTTTCTCGGAGCTTTAAAAAAGTTTGTTACAAACCGAGCTCGACCAGAAGGTTCAATCGCAGAGGCTTACATTGTCAAAGAGTGCATTACTTTTTGTTCAATGTATGTTGATGGGATCGAAGCAGTGCATAATCGACCCGAACGAAATCAAGATCGTGGCGAACGTCACAAAGGGTTAACTGTATTCACAGAAACTGCCCGTCCTATTGGCCTAATCACAAGGGATGCTGATATGTCACAAGAATATCGTGATATGGCTCATTGGTTCTTGTTGAACAATAGCCCCGAGATAGAGAAGTATCTAGAGTATGTTTTTCATTTAAATATGTGTATTCTTAGCTTTGTTAATGTAGTTAGCAGTGCATAATAATCACATTCTTTTGAGTAGGATACACAAAAATCTATTACGGACTCCATCTGACCAAGGCATAACCCGTATACAATAACAAGAGTTTCCCAAGTGGTTCAAAGAGTGGGTAAGGCATTTTCAATTTAAGACATGATTAAAAATTTGTATAAGATTTGATCATTTATTAATTTATTTTTACTATCTTACTGTACGTTATATGTGAATGTAGATAAATATATTGAGAGAAGAAAAGTCACCAGAAGCAACCAATGATTTATGGTCATTAGCAAATAGCCCAAATTTGCTAGTAAAAGAGTACTCAGGTTGCATAATCAATGGCGTACGGTTTCGTACAAGAGAAGTAGACAATCGCCGTAACAGTCAGAATAGTGGTGTGCTTACGGAAGGGGATCATGAGGGAGTGACACATGAATTTTATGGTCACTTGTGCAATGTTTGGGAATTGGAGTACATGTGTCATAACAAAGTTATATTGTTCCAGTGTGAATGGTACAACACAGGAAATACAGGTCGAAGTAGAACATTGCGAACCGATGATTATTGCACAAGTATTGATGTCACAAGTCGGTGGTATCAACACGACCCTTTCATCTTGCCTAGCCAGGCTAAGCAAGTCTTTTACCTAAATGATACCAAATGGGGACAACCTTGGCAAGTCGTTCAACGAGTGCAACATAGGGGTGTCTTTGATGTACCAGAGGTAGGTGACGGAGAATCATTACATGAACCAGAAAAAAACGATGTGTTCCAACAAGAAAATATTACCAATGTTGTTCCAATTGACATCGGCCCTAATGTTCAATGTTATAGAGATGGTGTTGAAGCAGAAGTTGTTACAAGGGTTAGGTCATCTGACGAAACAATGATACAGAAAAGAGCTGACAAACAAAATGAAGAGTGTGACGAACCTGATGTGGATTACGATATGGATCTTGATGTAGACTAGGATTTGTAGTTATTTTGCACTTCTATATGAACATTGTTCTTAATTAATGTAGTTGAATTTCAATTGTGGGGTTCATCCACTGTTGTGTAGGTTTATTGACACTGAATCCTATGATTCGTTTGAGCATGAGGTACTATACATTTATGCATTGTGAAATATATTCTTTCTTGTTACTTTCAATTCATACACACATAGACATGAATATCTTTGTACATATATTTATATTTTATTATGTTATTCAGCTGTTAGAGATACCATCGAGAGCCCGTTCACAATCTCATCATGAGGCATTGACCCACGCATTAGAAGAGGGGGATACCTCTTCACGTCCTGAGGTGACTAGCAATCCGCCACCACCTCTCAATGTGGAGCCTCAACTTGAGGTGACTGCTGGTAATACTATTGGTAAGACACACTCTTTATTTACATTGATTTGAGATCTTAATTAAATTTGTTCGTATACTATTTCAATAGTATGGCTTCACAATATCAGCTGCTAAGCGTGCTCGTGGCCCGACTCGAGGCAAAGAGGTTCAAGGCCTTGTTGATAGAGATAGAAAGCTTAGTGTGCCTATCCCTCCAAAATTTCGTGCACCGGTAGGGGACTATGCCTCAAAACTAGCCTCAAAGATTGGTGTAGAAGTGCGAACTCATTTACCAGATCCAAGTGTTCATAGGTGGAAGTATGTTGATGCCTCCGTTAAGGAGGCGATGTTTCAACGCTTGAATGTAAGGTCGTTGTCTACTTATAGGAGATTTTACTCATTTTTATAATAGGTTAGAAATCTTAATTATTTATTGTAATTATTTTATTTTTTATAAGAATTATCTATGACTTATCTATTTTTTGCAGGATCAATTTGATTTACAAGGAGACCCTGTTGATATAGAGAAGGCAATGAACACAAAATTTGGTCGGAGATTGAGTAACCATACCTATAGGCCGCACAAAATATTCATGGAGCTGAAGGAGGCTAAAAGGGAGGAGTACGCAAGAAACCACCCACCGAAGAATGTCGATCCTACCAAATGGATAGATCTTATTGATAAAAAGTGGAACACTAAAGAATTTCTGGTAACATTTTCATCTTTTTTATTATATTAGCGAAGAAAGAATTTGATTATTATCTTCTAGGCATGTAAGTGGAACATAATAAAAACCAAATAAGTGGAAAAATGAGAAAGGGAAACTATTAAACATGAATTGGAAGGCTCGCATAATAGGAGATTAATTTATGGTTCCTTAAAGTGCATCTTTCACATCATAGAATAAAGAACTAAGATTTCAGTTTCTATGATTGTATTAATTTTCTAGTTGTTCTTGGGTTTGGTCTGAAGTTTCATGATAATGGTAAGCAACTAGCTAAGTAACTAATATAGGGTATTGAGACAGAACTTTAGATTTGATAGAGTTGCGGAAGAAAGAAAGGGTTATGAGTTTGGTATCAATAATTGTTCCATATCTTGTGAAATGTAAATGGATTTTTTCACAATCTATCTTGCCCATGCTTATATACCCCCTATTTGTGAACGGTGTAAATTACTCATTTTTCTTTTTTCACCAGAAAAACCATCTTATGATGAAATCTCAATAAGTCCTCTAATCTATTTTTCACATAATTGAATGAAACTAGTGAATAATTTGAAATATCTTTTAAGTTGAAATGATATATAGGAAAATGATAGAGAGGAACAATGCAATTTCTTTATTATCAACCATTAAATTTGTTTTACTAGTGATACATTCCATTGTTATATTGGTTCATTATTCTTTACAGGAACAATCAAAAGCCAACATATTTGTCTTACTAATGATACATTTCATTGTTATATTGGTCATTCTTCCTTATAGGAACAATCAAAGGCCAACATCGCAAACAGAGAAAGGACATATACAAAACATAGGTGTGGTTCTAGGTCAATCCCTGTTAGAGTAGAAAAACTGGTACGTATCCTTGCACTTTCAGAATTATATTAGATTCTTATCTTTATTTATTGAATATTTGGTCTATCGAATTAGGCACGAGAAAAGAAGATGCTACCTGATCTAGCAGAGTTGTACAAGGAAACTCACTATAATGAGAAAACAAATGAGTGGATCTCATCTCAAGCTCAGTGTAATTATGTGAGTATATATTGCAATTTTTATTAACAAAATTTTAGAATACTATTTGTTGTAATCTTATTTAATTTTCTAATAATTATTTAATTTTTTTTATATTTGATAGGAAAATATGATACAGACATAGGCTGATCACCTCTCACAGTCGAGATCAACCCCTTTGACTGCAGAAGAGCTATCAATCAAAGTCCTAAAGCCAAGGTCTGGCTATGTGAAGGGACTTGGCATGAGACCTTCATCCTCTATTAGGAGAGCCACTACCATATATGTTGAAACAAATGATTACGTGAAGCGCCTTGAGATGCAAATAGAGACACAAAAGGAACAAATACAATTGCAGAACAATAAAATAGAAGATCTTGAAGCGGGTAAGAAGAAGCAAGGGGAGATAATGGCTGATGTTGTCAACTTTTTGAGGACCAAAGGATTTACTGGACACTTTGGAAATGGAGGGAACTCATCCACAAGTGGACATACTTCTTGGTAAAGTATATTAACTTTAATATAACAAATTTTATAAAAGAATACATGTTTGAAGAATTAGGAAGTAATGGAAACATGCATATGACATCCAATTTGTACAGGTGCACATGATGTATAAATTGTGAATTAGTCTAAAAAATATTTTTTTTTCTCTATACTTAAAGCTTGAAAAAAGGCTGTCGAAATGCTAAATTATCACACAATTACAGATTTGTACAAGAACCAATAGAAACACCTTAGGAGAGACCAATATAAGTTGTATGAACTTACGGCACATTAATGGGATGCACCATTTGTGAATTAGCCTTAAAATTAATTTTTTGTTCTCATAATCTAAAAAAAAAGCTTGTTACAGGGATAAATTGTATAATTGATCTAATTGTAAATTGATGAGTCACTAATGTTTTTAATCTTTTGTATAATTGATTTATTACTAAAACTTTTAATTTATTTTTTTGCAGATTGGATTGAGGTGGCATTTTTGACGTGCAACAATGATGTAATTTGTTTGAATGTTCATTTTTGTTTGATAAGGATACACATACAGTTACACTAGTTATTGTTGGATTTTTGGTGGAATTGAACAAATTATAACTTTTGGATATTTTGTGGATATTTCACTATTTTATTATATCAGGATGAAATTATTTGTAATGATGAATGTATATTTTCATTTTGTTAATTCGTAAATGTGTTGATAACAGGTTAGGTTAAGTTGTGATGGAATTGTTATATTCAACAGGTTTCAACATGAACAGGGTCATATTTGTTGAACTAAAATTTAGATTTTGATAAAATAGGTATATAATGTGGAAAAAAATATTATGAAATTATTGACAAAATTTTTCATCCCTAAAGAAGGTTTTTTTGTCTCTTGTTTGGCTTAGGTGGATGATTAATTTTGTCATAAATTCTTTATTTCGTCGCTAAATGAATTTGTCTTGACAAAAAATATTGTCACATTTTGTCACTATTACCCTCAATGTGTGACGAATTTTTTTTGACATTATTTCATCATTTTTAATGATGAATTTGTTTTTATCTCTATTGGTAGCTTCTTTGACAATAAATTTTCGTCTTCGTTTATATTAAACGTGACAAAATTATTTTGTCTCCATTTCTTATATTTATGACAAAATACTTTTGTCTCTAATTTCTTCTTTAATGACAAAATATTTTGTCGCTAATTACTTGCAAGTATGTTCCCAACAGGGTGTATTGGAGACAAAAAAATTCGTCAAAAATTTATCATTTTTAATGATGAATTTGTTTTTGTCTCTATTGATAGCTTCTTTGACAAAAAATTTTCGTCTTCGTTTTTATTAAACGTGACAAAAGTATTTCATCTCTATTTCTTATATTTATAACAAAATACTTTTATCTCTAATTTCTTCTTTAATGACAAAATATTTTGTCGCTAATTACTTACAAGTATGTTCCCAACAAAGTGTATTGGAGACAAAAAAAATCGTCACAAATTTATCATTTTCAATGACGAATTTTTTTTTCGTCTCTAAGACCCTTTAGCGACGACCCTTTGGAGACAAAA